TGGTTTATTCCTCTTAGTCCTATTGGGAGAGAGCAAGTATGTGATATCTGTTCCTCTACATAGGGTTATTCATGCTGCTTTATATAATGCTTTACATAAGTTTGATGTAGCTAAAGGTGAAAGATTTATATGGAAAAGATAATGGGTCTGAACTGGCAGCTTGGTATCCATGTAGCCTTTTCATTACAAAGGCAACTTTTTTCTATCTTGATAGATGTGTGGTCTAACATCTAGAATTCTCAGCAGAGACCATACCGAGTGGGGAGTTCTGGAAGTTAAAGTCCATGCATGTGGAGGGTGCCCAAGTTGGAAAAGGGTTACTTATGGAGTAGGAAAGATTGGCTCAGTTATAAGTGGCTACCAGCAAGCATTATGGGACAAAACAGATTTCATTCAGGGCAGTCAACAGGGAATTTGGGTACTAGGATGGATTTAACATCAACTCGGACTGCTTTCTCAAATTCTTCCCTCATTTCCATAGGGTTGGTTGCCCTTCTCTTTTGGTAGAATAGTCTGCCAAGTGGGCAAAACACTTTCTTAGGATGTATACGCTATTCTCATATTGGCCTATTAGTGGACAACATTTTTGCAGCTAGGTATAGCAATTTTTTTAATCTCTAAGGACCGCAGAGAATACTGAGGTGATGTAGAGCTGTCCCTGTCTTTGGAGGTGGCAGTGCTTGATTGAGAAGTGAAGGGTCAGTCCTTGTTAATAGTTGGGTGAGAGACCTCCGGGAATACCAGGGTTATAGGCTAGACTGGGAAGTCAGAAAACATCAAAGAAAATGCTATGACTAACCACTTGAATAGTTTTACCAAGAATATTGCAAGGATGCATCTGGGAAGACACCAGGTGTCAAACTCTACTCAAAGGAGACTTAGTTATCTACTTAGGAAAGTTACTGCAGGAAATAAAACTAGAGGTTTTGGTCCTGTATCTTCTGTTTCTATCTTTTAATGAAGGTAATAAAATGAACTTTAAAATAAATTAAAACAAAATAACTGTATGAAGCTTACCAGAGCAAGCATTGATTTTTAAAATGTACAGAATCTCACTGCTGTTTTTTCCTGGTTTGTCACCAAATTTTAACAGCCTGATGGGGATTGTCTCTTGGGATTGCAAAAAAGGGATTATGTTTTGAAGTTAATGGTTCAGTTTCTAATGACATCTTATAGAATGCTTATTATTCATCTGTCTGCATTTTATTTGTCATGTAATACGCTGGGAATTCTGTTACTGTAATGTGCTCTCTTTTTCTTTCTCTCTCTATATGTATGCATGCTGATGGTAAATAGCTTAATTGCTATTTATTTATCTGGGAAAAAGCCCAGATGGCTAAGGCTTTATATTTTAAGTGCTGTTCATGTACAGAATTTCATAATTCTTGAGTCTGGACTGGAGAAGATTCTTGGTACAGATCTTTAATGTCATAGTATTTTCAAATGTTTAATTTTGTTGTAGAAGTTACCTAACATACAAATTCTTATTTAGTAAATAAAAGTGAGGAAGAATTAGACTATTAATGGTGGACTGGTGGACAAGGAGTTTTGTATGGTATTTACCACTTTTTGAACAATCTGTGTAGAGTCGCTAGAGTGTTAGAAGCTAAAGCTCTTCTTCAGGCATTCTTGACTGAAATGAATTGTAGGGAATTACCTGAAATGAACTCTTCAATCACTGTTGTGCATTTCTGAAACTAGTGTTTGTAGTTGATAGTTGATTACAGTCTCAATTAATTATGTAATAAGTGACAAAGTTAGTGCTTGAAATTAAGATTTCTTCTTTTCATAGATATATTTGTAAAAGAAGATCTTTCAAATTTCTGTATTCTGTATTTCTGTATTCCAACAACACAAATATTATAGAAGACCATATTGCTAAACATGTATTGAGTAAGTGCCTTAAAATTAGCTTGGATGTGATCTGGCTATGATATTTTATTCCATTAGTAATCAGGGTTGATAACACAACAAAAACTAGCTTTCATTTAAGGTTTTCTGAGGAGGCATCTGTCAATTTCTTATCTTCAGTCTGTAATGGAGTGGCTCTCTCTATATGCTACCATATTTGTTTCCAGACTAGAGTAAATCTTCGCATTTCAGGATGTGACACTATGGTCAGGCTTGCAGGCATTACATGTTACCTTAAACAATAGCTGTGAATGGGACCCAGCATTTTTATGGCACAGTTTGTAAAGTTGCATCAGAACACGGTGATGATTTTGAGGAAGCAATTAAGTGCTCAGATCAGTATTCAAATATAGTTCGACTAATGTTAGGGTGATATTGTTAAATTCCTTTTCATTACAGATGGGAGAGGAAGGAAGAGTTGATACTAAATGAGTCTTGAGGAGCTCTAGGATAATGAAAGAGTTGTTGCTTCAGTGTCCTCTCATCACAGTTATAACTTTATACTTAACCTATTCCAAGAAATGTACTTTTGACAAAACAGTAGAGAGACTTCCTGTAAATTTTAGTAATGTGGATTAAGCTCTTAGAATAATTTTTTTGTGGGTTTTTGTTTTTGCTGAGGGAGAGTCAGGGAGAAGACTAAACAATGGCAGAAGAAAAGTGCTCATTCTGAATAAATGCCTAGATTTCAATGAACAAGGATTTTTTAAAACTAGGTATTGATAATGTGACTAAAAAAATAGACATGTAGTTCCAGTTGATTGAAAACAGCTTGAGGCATTTTCTTTTCTTCTTCTTTTTTTTTTTTGCTAATATCAGTCCAGTAATTTATTCTAAATTATTTTTTCAGCTGTATTTCCCAGTTCCATTGAAAGATTAAGCTAAAGAACAAGATGTAATAACTACAAAAATCAGTGACATTTTAGTTTTACCTCTGAAAACAGTGGCAAAACTGATACTGTATTTTTTTTTTTACACTTTATAGATCAGCTTTGATAAGGATGATCTCAGGTTTACATCTGATAACACGTAGGCAACAATTATCATTCCTTATTTCTTTATAAGCACAATATTTTGAAAAGTCAAGACAGGGTTATTTTTGGTCTTTACCCTATCTGTACAATACAGTATGAAACTTTAGATAGGGATACAGTTCCGTGAAAAGAAAGACTACCCTGGAACCGGTAAGATTACAAATTGCTGAAACAATATAACTCATATTATGGTCATGAATTTTTTGGCTTCAATCATATACACTTGCTAGAAGAAACACAGAGGTACTTTTTAGATTAATATTTTTATTCCCTAGTACACCAGGAAAAATTCTACCAGTAGAGGAAATGAATTTAATACAAATAGGTGCAGATGGGAAAGATGTTATCTGGAAAAAAGACTCCTATATTCAACACAGTAAAAGTTGACTAAATAAATGAAAAAGCTTGTTGTAGTATTTTTCAGTAGGAGTTGTATCTTGAGCTGATTCAGGTAGTGATTCAGTGAAAAATAAAATATTACATAGATATGTAAAAGCTGAGCATATGTGGACAAAAGTTAATATAATATATTGCACAATATATTTTTATTGCCCATTATATATGGTACTAAAAGTCTTATCAGTTTTGGAAAGACTTTAGGAATACCTGTCATATTTAGAATATTTTAATGCAGTTGCAATCAACTGATAATATAAGTTCATTAGTCTGTATATTGTAAAGACATTCCTTCCTGGGTCATGTGTACAATGGATATATAGAAGATGCTCATTTTGTGAAACTGGTGGTTTTAGCATTTCCTTTTGTATAATCCAGAACCATTTTGAAAACTATCTATAGAAATACTGGTCTGTCTAATGCAGCTTGGTTTTACAGGATTTACAGGATACTACCCAGAATTACATAAACTAACTTTTTGTGGATTAAGAATTCTCTTTATGTACCTCAAAAATTTGCTTCAGGAAGTCTCTAGAAATGTTGAATATATCTATCTTGATAGCTTTGAACCAGGAATTGTATTGTTGCTGTTAAAAATAATTCAGCTTCTGGTCATATGTGTGCCATTTTTTCTCAAGCATCATGTGCTTTACATTGAACAAGCAGAACTCATAGGGTGGTTATATGAAGTTAACATGAGAGAAAGTTCTCTGTGTAGTGCCTTTAGCTACTGGAGCAATAGCAGATGTAAATGAAATAAGTAATGCGTGATGATGTATAAAATTCTTTAGGGCGGTGGTAGCTTCCTGAAATAAATGAGACATAAGGTGGAAGTTATTTTTGAGGGATTCTTAATCAGTTTCTTGTGCTTAGCCTAAAAATGAATTATTTTGACCAAAGTTCATGTTGTTTGTTACACTACCAATTGACTAGCCATGTTCTTGAAAAAGGAGTGCTTAATTATTTATTTACTGAACTTCTGTTGCACAAATTTTTCTCTTTACTTTCTGTAGATTTCCCCTCCCCCTTGCAATGTCTTAGTTTTTTGTTCCTTGTACTTTTTGTAATTACATTGTTCACCTTAATAAATATTGTTACATATGTTTTTGTAGCTTAGAATCTGTGTAAACAGTTACATCTGATACAATGAGTGCTAGCAACTCCATAAAAATGCTTCTCGGCTATTAAACTTTATTGTATTATATGGCTACGTTCCTGTTTAAAACTCAACAGATTAAAGAAGAAGGAATAACAGAAAATTGTGTACATTCCTGCAGCTTAAATCTTACTCTCATTTGACTCAATGTTATACTGTCAATTTTTAATCACCAATAGCTTGAGTAATTTTTTTGAAAGCAACAAAGCAGCTGGGTAACTAATCCTAGAGTTCTATTTTTTTCTGTATTAGCTTGTCCTTAGTTCTGGAAATAAGTGCTTCATGGTGTGTATGTGTGTATGTGAGGAAGCCTTTATGGTTTATGTGATTGATTTCTCTAATCAACTCTATTATTTGGCATCTTTTTTTCATGTAAAGATAAAAGGCTATGGAAAAAGTTGTAGAGGAAAGTAGCTAAAAATATTCCTTTGTAGATGGAGACCAAGCGGAAAAAGTATTTAGAGCTGCTAAATAAGTAACAACTTAGAACATTTTAATTACAGAGATTGAGGAGATTATCAACAAAGTATAGAACAGAAAAGATCTACCCAACCATCACTGGAGAAAAAGAAGAAAATGTGAAAAAGAACAGATACAAAGATATACTGCCATGTAAGTCTGAGTTTCTTCTACAGACGTTTTAATAACATTTATTAAGCTATCTTTCTTGTTAACATTTATACTCTTGTGTGTAGGTGAATTAGATGGTAATTATTTGCTGAAAAGAATATTTTTCCAAAGATGTTTCATCTGCCTAAATTAATGCTTCTTTTTATGTTTGCCATCCTGACAGCTACTATTTAAACACTGTCTCCAGTGCTGAAAAAAGTGTTATTAAGTTTGACCTCCAAACCAGTGTAGCAAATGTTTTTCTGAATCATCAAACATGCTATTTATCTATATGCCCATCTACTTTCAAAAAGTCATTTTTCTTACAATTTACTTCTCTTAGGGAAAAAGAGAGAGAATCTGGAATGAACTTTAACTGTGCATAGTATATAGGGTTCTGATAGTATCTTATTTGAAGGTACATGGTACTTAAGTGATAGCTACAAAGCAGAAAAAAGACACTGTATTTGTGAAAATTTAACTAGAGTTAAAATGCAAAGTTTAAACATGTAGGTTTGTTCATGTTCTCCTGTAGTCATGACATTTTAAATAATGGCAATTGACTGGTTTTTTGGCTGCTTTGGAGAAATAACTGATTCTCTCAACTACTCGTTTTTATTGTTTATTCTACCTTGGAATCATTTATCTTCTTATAAATGACAACAACATGAGGAAATATCTTCCTTCACTGCCTGTTGTGTGATTAGACTATTGGGATGCTAAGACTACATATATGTAGAGTTAGCTAAAGGAATTGAGTTGAACTCCATGACATTTAAGAAGGCAGCCTCAAGCACTTCATATTCTAGGGCTGTTCTGCCTCTTCTCCCTGTTGCAGCTCCGTGTGTTCTTAAAAAACCACAGCTTGGGGCTAATGACCTTGAAATATAATGAAGTGGACTGCACTAATCTAAGACATTGTCTGCCGGAAGTGAAAGCCAAGATAGGGCTTCTGCTCATTGCAGACACATAGCGTAGACTGGAAATTGACTATTTCTTCAGTACTGCTGGTGGGGCTCATGTCTTCTCTGAACTTGAGGATAAAAGACTAACCTAGGAGGGTGCAAGACAAGTTGTGTTGTATACCTTTTCTGTTCTCCAGAAGAGCAGAAGGGCTGAGGAAAGCACAGGAAAAACAATTGAGGGCTGTCACTAATATCTCCCCATCCTCAAATCTGCTACTTTGGGCAATTACCTCCTAATGAGTGGTTATTCCTGTCGTGTAATGAAGGGGGAAGGTTAAGATTCAAAGCAGTTGCACAAATGACTAATCGGTATTTGATTTATGGAGCACACCTATTGACATGCAAAGTAATTTTTTCCTAAATTTGCTATATTTTAGTTGATCACAGTAGAGTTAAACTGACGTTAAAAACTCCCACACAAGATTCTGACTACATCAATGCAAATTTTATTAAGGTATGTATTAATGTAATTTTACTATCTTGTGTAATGTGCTGATACCTTGTGAATACTTCAAAATACTAATATTTCTGAGTGGAAACCAACTTTGATATTGTGTGTGATTCCATTGAGCTTGAATGCAAAGAAGCTAAAACCCCAAAAACAAAACAAAAAAGAAAGAAAAAAGAAAAGATGACCCTGTAAACCATTTGTTCAGGAAACAATAATTGCCAAACTAATATAGCAAAATTAGTCACAAAACCAAAGGAAATAAAAGGTCTAATTATAGCAATATGTAATAACCTGTTTTGAGTGACTGTACTAATATGAATGTGAATAAGAGAGAGGTCTTAATTAAGAGTTTTGAATAAAGAATCTTGGTAATTGAACAGCTTTTAATTAATTGACTGGTTGCATGTGATACATATGTTATAAAGTCCAAGCACATTGTGAAACCTTTTTACTTCTGCCTTTTGGAAGTATAACATGTTAATCACAAATTAATATGTAATTCTTCCAGAAGGCAGAAATAAATTAACATCATTGTTTTATGTATCTATATTATAGAAGCAATACTATGTATTATTTCCAAAGCAGCTTATATAATAGAAAATAGCTAATATGTGTTAGATTTTAGGCCTCCAGATCCTTGCATCTGAAGTGTCTTTTCCTCAAAATCAGATTAGGTGCTTCTTAATGGAGTCCTGTATCCTTTAAATAAAATCTCAAAAGGGTGTTGGTTTTGTTTTGTTTTTAAATAAACTGTTTCACTTTAGGAAAACAAGAGCAATATGAAGAGCAATCAGTTAATGAGAATAATTCTTGCATTTTGCAGTCTGTATATGGAAGGAGGGCTAAGCATGCTCCCTGAGTTGCTCAACCATTTGGGCTGTGAACTTTTATTTGAGGGTTTGCTACTTAACTTGTATTTTATTAATAAAAATTGGTATTTGTCCTAGGATTTGTTTAAAGTTTCCTTTCGATTTGAAAAGTAAAGTTTGTTGATACTTTGTATCTATTTTGAAAATTCATATACTTGTTCTCACATCTATCTTTGGATATTATCTTGGACGTTTTATGTGTAAGAGCAGTGTCAAGATGTATCTCATTCTGTAATAATATTCAGTTGTATATTGCAATTTTAGGGAGTACATGGGCCAAAAGCATATGTTGCTACCCAGGGACCACTAGCAAATACAGTAATAGATTTCTGGAGGATGATATGGGAGTACAATGTTGCAGTAAGTAATTTAAATACAGAATTGATTACATTTTGTGAACTTTCGCTAATACTGATTTGACTGCGGTAGGCCACTTCTGGCTGCTCAGCACCCAAGATTGTCCTATCAAAATTTAGAAGCAGATTGTCTGAATTTCAATAGTGTTTCAATTGTTCATATTTATTTCAGACTTCTTAAAGGTGAATGAGAGCAGGGAGGCCTCAGGAAGGCTGATGCTCCTATCCCAACCATTAAACCCTTCATATGTACATCTCCCACAAAGGCCAGCTCCTAGATAATTTCAGCCTTTTGGGATTGGCAATTAAGGATAGGAATGGGAGCAGGAGGCCTCTGGAAGGCAAATCAACTCCTGTTTCAAGTCTTAGAATCCCCAGCTCCCAAAAAATTGTTTTTGGGAGCTAAATAATGGCACTGAGTCTCTCAGAGTCTTCCCCGTACTAATGCCTACCCTAAAAGCTGAAAAACAGCAATTACAAAAAGGGCTGGAAGTTTTGTCCTCTTCCAGAAATAACCTTCTATGGCTCTCTGGAAAATTGTCAATTTCAGCCCCTGATCTCTCAAATATTATCCACCTGTTAATGTTCTATCATTATGAGATATACTAAATCCTTGCTGGGAAAGATGTTGGCAATACTGTGGAATTAAGAGACTCTCCCCCTGATTTACTCTGATTAAGGCTTAATTAACAAATAAAATGAAGTACCTTGTAAGTATATGAGATCACTTACATGGGGCTGACTTTGAAGACTACCTGGAAGCTTCAGATCATGCAAAATGCAGCAGCCCATGTATTGGCAGACAAGAGCTCTACAGGGATTCAGTAGGGCAAGGATTTTGGCAAATTTTATAGTCACATCTGTTTTTCCCCCCCCAGATTATTGTAATGGCCTGTCGAGAATTTGAAATGGGAAGGGTATGTATAGATAACATTAGTTTTCTTATGCATTTGCTAAATTTGCTACCTGTGATAATGAAATTAAATCTTGACGTACAGTTTTAGGTTTATTTAGTGAAAAAAATCTCTAGAAAAGACCACAACTAGTGGTCTTTTAGTCTACTTCCTTTTGTAGACTAAAAGGAAGTCTATAGACATTTCAAGAGTCCATTTTAAGTTAAATCAAATAGTATTTGATCAATTTAGTAAATCAATTTAGTATTTTCTTCTGCCACTTAAATAACAAGGTTATGAACATTTTTACAATGTAAAATTTTATGACATCAAGACAAATCATAATATTGGTATGAAATTTCAAGTTTCAAAAAGACTGAATGTGAAAAACCAAGAAAGTAGATTGTGAACTAAAAAGGTTAGGAGAACTTTATCCATTTAAAGCATGAAATGTATGTATTCCAAAGTGTGTATATTTTTTTAAACTGCACATTTTGCTAACAGAAAAAATGTGAACGTTACTGGCCACTGTATGGGGAAGAAGGTGTTTCCTTTGGACCATTCCACATTTCTTGTGTAAGTGTTCTTATGACTGATAGCCTTGAAATGAAATTGTAATTTGTGCTTAATGTGCACATTTGTGTGGACATTGAACAAATTAACTTATTTTAAAGAAACTCCATTCTTCTGCAGTTATATGAATTAATCACTAGTGATTCTGAAGTGTTTTAGTTGGAATAAATTAAATAATTGTGTGAGTAGCAGAAGCAGATTTCTAAATTCTTATCCTCAGTAATGCTACATTGATATCTTGTTCAGACAGTAGTATAGAATGAAAGAATGTGTGCGTTAATAATGGAGCATTTTTTCTTGAAATTAAACTTCAGAAATAGAGAAATTGTACATTAGCCTTATTCAGATTATAGTTTAAAATGAAACAATGCTGTGGGCAACTCTTGACATTCCCCCTCTTCTCCACTCTCGTGCAACTAGAAGAAGATTAGCAGATTTTACTTCCATGTTTAAATTGTCATAGTTGGATGATTTGCACAAACCTGGATGGGCTGGTCAGTGTGAGCAAAGTTTACTGTTGCTTATGTGTTAAAGAAAGCAAGCTCCATAAATCATGGTTTAAAGTTGGCTTTTTGGTAAGCATATTTAGGTTTGTCTCAGTTTCTACACAAAGCTGAACTGGGTTTATTAAAGGGTGTAAGGCTTGCATGTGATAATTCATGCAATGCTAAACTGGTGATGAGCCTGGGGCCTTGGTATCCTATTTTGTTAAAGAAAGCAAGCTCCATAAATCATGGTTTAAAGTTGGCTTTTTGGTAAGCATATTTAGGTTTGTCTCAGTTTCTACACAAAGCTGAACTGGGTTTATTAAAGGGTGTAAGGCTTGCATGTGATAATTCATGCAATGCTAAACTGGTGATGAGCCTGGGGCCTTGGTATCCTATTTTCCTGTCCTAGATTCCTCCCAGAGTGGCAAAAGTTGAATATTTCAGACTGTTCCTATTGAAGAAAATATATGTAGCTCAAGGTTGAACTGTGGAGTTCCTGGTGCTCTCTGAGCTTCGTTGTTTGCTTGTAGACATCCCACTGCCCAACTAGGTAACATCAGTGTGAGTGAATGTGGGGTTTGCTACCTGTTTATATGCAGCAGTAGGCAAAGATTGATGAGATCCATGAGTCTGGGTATTTCAATCTTAATGTATTTGGCTAGGTAGAGTATATTGTGTTAGCAAATGCTAGAGAATTCCTGGAAGCTTGGCATTTAGGCAAATCAGCCATCAGTAGACACAGAGATAAACCACATTTACATACCATTCAAAAGTGACAATAAAAAAACCTAGGAAAGAAACAAAAAGACTACAACACATCCCCTCCAGCAGCCCACTTTCGAATAAACAGTGATCAGCACCAGACAAACAATGAGGCAGACTCATTGAGAGTCTGACAAAAAATCAGACAAAATTCTAATCAAGGAACCACCAAGGAGGAAACTATACCTGCCCCCCCCAAAAAAAACTGGCAAGGCAAGCTACTGCATATAAACAGGCAGCAAACCCCACACTTACTTGCACCGATGATGTTACTTAACTGGGTAATGAAATGTCTTCAAGCAAACAACCAAGTTCTGAGAGCACCAAGAACTCCACATTTCAGACTGTTTTTTCCTGTTCAGGGCTGCGTTAAGAGGCAAAATTAATGCTTTAACCTTTGTAGAAGGTTAAGGCTCCTATCACATCCCTTAAAGTGGCCCCCGCCAAAAGTCAGGCTCCTCCCCACTATTTAAGGGAGTCCTGAGGCATTAATTTCAAGACTTAACCACCCAGCAAAAGTCCAGAACTTTGGGGCATACCTATTGTAGTCAGGGAGAGCAGGAAAAAGATTTATCGCTGAAAAAGGTTACCTGTCTCTATGATGAATTAAAGTTTAATGCTGTCATGAAATGATGAAAACCTGTATTTGTTTTTCCAAATTGCCATTAGATAATATGGAAAGGAATGGCTGTAGAAGTATCAGTGTGCTACCATGCTGCAGAACTGTGAAATGATGAAAACTCAGAACTGATTTGTTTGAATTTCCATGGTGAATTGTAGAAAGGAAGAGAGCCAGTATTTAAATTATGCCTGTGAATTGGAATTTCACTAAAAAACAGAATAGGCCTATTATGTTGAGACTGAGTTTCTGTTTCGTGCATTATGAGGAGTAACTGCAATAGGAGGTGGGGAAAGGGGTAAGATACATTATGCCCTCCCCATCTCTACAAAACTGCTATAACTAATAAAAATAATTTCTTCATACACAAAGAATATTCCACTTATTGAATAGCTATTTTATGCCTTATTTGATTTATTTTTGTATCTCCTCTGTTCTTCTGCTTCAGCAAATTGCACAATCTCACATACTGGAGAGAAGTGCCTATAGATAAATAAATTTACATTCCACTTTTTTGTTTTCTGACCTAGGAACAATAAGGGTGTTGGTCATTCGAACATGAAAATATATCAACTTCTATAGAATTTTTTATAACACTGCTGTCATTCTGGTTTAAGTCTTGGTATAAGTATGTATGGAACTGCACAAGTAGTTATTTTTCTTATATTCGAGATTACTTGGCTTCAACCCATAATTTGCTTAAAGCTGGAGATCACAGGGAAACACCATTCTAGTTTGATGACATTGTAGATGTAGATTGGTTTGCTAACTGTAGCTGTGGTTAATGTTACATCTGAGCAAAGTCTGAATTCCATTTATCTGTTTTATTGAAACAAAGCAAATCTAAATTCACTTTCCATATTACTGTGAACAAAGTCATTCAAATTTTTGCTTTTTATTAAGGTTCACATTACTGTCAACAATGAAGTAAAATTGGGCAAAGTTTTAATCTACTCATAATGCTCTCTTTCTGTTTAGGAAGCTGAACAGGCCAGAACAGATTACTATATTAGAACTCTGCTATTTGAATATCAGAATGTAAGTAGATAAAATATCTGTCCCCCAATCAAGCTAAACATAATAGAATTCTTATTTTAGTTGCTGCTTATGTGCAGCATAAATTAACTGTTTTGGATAGCATATTAATGGTGTAATGGAATGGCTTTCAGTTTGTGAGAGTTGGCAGATAAATTCTGTTTCACTTAGAATAATAGGGATTTATGTTTTTTCGTTCTTTATTACCTGCCACTTACTTTTCTTCGTTTTTTATAAATAGTTGTCCTTTTAGCTGTGCAGTGTCCCCTTTTCAGGTAAGGGAAGGCCAAGTACAGAGCAGTGTGCTGTTTGTTTGTTTATTTATTTCTGGTGGTTTGGAAGGACCAACATAAGATATTCCAATTTTCTTTAGAAATAAGGCAGGAATAGTTTGACGCAAACCATTTTTAGCTGAAGAAAGACTCGAGGGCTTTGTATTTACTATCTGGCAATAATAGCATTAGGGCAGAAAGCCAGAATAGCCCCTGGAGTATTGATGAGCGTAAAAAGCCTTAGTAGACAGCAGTTACTAGTGAGATGATAGTTCTTGGGTAGGCACAGCAGGACGATGAAAACTGAGCTTGCAAATAATACATAGGGGTTGCCTCAGCCATCTGGATACCACTGATTCATCTTGACTTTCAGATGACACTCCTCCACTTACTACTTTTTTACATTTAAACGGTGTGGGTCAGTTTGACTTCAGTTTGCTTCAGGTGCTCAGCTGCTTAATGTTCTAAAATATTTGGGAGCTGGACTGAACTCGCTGTAGATTTTACAAATAAGATTTAGATGCTTTCACCTTGCAGTTTTACAAGCAGGTTTCTAATCCGTTGAAATCTAAAGTATGGAGAAGTTAAATATTAAATCTTGTACTTTTACCTAATCTGAGTTCTTTTCCAAGTGCAGTTCTTTAATTTATTTTGATAGTTTTTTTGTATAGTACCCTAAATAAAGGTATGTAAGTTAGAAAGTATTTCTTTCTCCCATTAGTGTAATATTCATGAGAACATCTAGCAAGTGTTCCAAATAAATCAGACGTAGCAATTTAGGCAAAGCCATCTATGTTAGTTCTTTAGTATGGTACACTTAACCATTATTAATGAGAAATTTCATCACAAAAATATATTCTCAAAAGGAATGGTTTTATACATAATGTAACATCCTTCTTTTCCTTTAGGAAACACGTCGAGTATATCAGTTTCATTATGTCAATTGGCCTGACCATGATGTCCCTTCATCTTTTGATTCTATTCTGGATATGATCAGTCTAATGAGAGAATACCAGGAGCATGAAGATGTTCCCATCTGTATACACTGCAGGTACAATTTTTTCTTAATGATTATTGCAGGAGTTTAAGTGAGAGACAATAGGAAATATTTTGAGTAGTTTTCTTTTTCTTTAGTAACATGGTAGTTGATGGCTTTTTTCTACTCCTTTTAATGTATTTCTGAAGTCTAGTGCACTGGGAGGTTCAAGTCCTACATATAAATCATGGGAATATAACCAAAACTTATTAGTTATGTGCCTTTGAATGCTCAAAAATTAGAAACATTTTTGGTAACAGATTTGTTTGACACTAATATCATATACTGTGTATCCATGTGCACTCTATTGTAATATAAAATGTTCAAGCAACAAGGTTTTTAAAAATAATTTTTATTGAAGAAATTTTTAACAAAGTAAAAACCATAAAAGAAAACAAAGATAATAAAGAAAAATAATAAATAGTGAAGAAAGAAAATAGAAAAAGAAATAGAAAAGGAAAAGAAAGATTATAAAGAAGCAGCTTCCAATCTTCTTGACAGCAGTTATAAATACATTTATATTTTGCACTCTCTCTAAAGTTACATCATAATTTCCTTCTTTCCATAAGCTACCCTTTCTAATCTTCAA